AACGTAACGCTTACGTATGCACCACCCTGACTTGCACTTGATAACTGTGATATCAATTCTATACTTTTTTTTTTCCCCCCCTCCTTTTTCTTCTGTGAGGTGTTACTTTCCTGTGAATGGAATGCCATAAGCCTGCATGACTATCAGTCAGATTCTCTTCATGGTTTTGCGAACGCTGAGTGATAAACAATAATATCAGCTGCCAGTTGCAAAGCAATTTTTTTTTGTGAAAGAGGAGAATTCTCTCTAGAGACATGACAGATTGTACCGGTGCCAATCAAGCCTTGGCAGTCTGTCCTCCTGATCGCTTGGACTCCATAAATATTCCTTTCTGTAACTTTCTTGCTGGAGTGGAAAACAGATTTTTGTTGAGATGCTGTCTGCTCAGCTGAGAGTGTAAGTTTAAACACCACACAATGGAAGATGGAGTGACCTCATCCTGATTTACGGTGCCAACAGAACTGATGGGGTGATTAAGGGGACATTGGTGGCAGATTAAGGCAGAATCCTTGGTATCTGGGCCCCGTGCTTAGAGCGGGATAATGAAGCGGCAGGAAGTGGGGAGCAGCAGATCCAGGTCCCAGCGCAGGGGTTGCTCCCGAGCAGCTGCAGGCTGCCAGGGGGCATCAAAGGGAGGGGAGTTCTCCTGCTACACCCGTCATGGTTTTAGGTCCTGGGTTTCCCCTGCAAAATCCCACTGGATCTGATTTTTTTGGTGTTTTTTTTTTCTTTGCCACATTGAGGTAGAGTGACAGCATCCAACACAGGCGTTTGGGGTAGAGCTGCTACAGGGTTTTTAGTCGGTTGCTGAGTAAATCTGGAGCTGGGGCGAGGTGCCTTTCCACAGCAGCGTCCCGCTCTGTGCTCTCCTGGCTTGGCATGAGGTCTGATCCTTCTAGAAAAATTAAAAGATCAAATAAACTAGCTCTCCACAATTACTCTAGAAATGTAGTGGTCTTGCTGACTGAAATTAAATTTTATCCTCAGGTAAAAGATGTATTTTGATACGGCTGTACTGAATTTCTCAAATGATAAGTCAGGTTTGCTTTAAGTTGCATTTCTATCTTGCTTATACTTTCGGTGAGACTTACACGAAATAATAATTTCTATTTCCTTTATGCTTTGTTTCAATATGCACATTTAATTCTGTAGTCTGAATGATACTCTTATGCTGAGGCTAAGCTATATTAAAACCAGCTTTGTGAGTGTACACTGAAATAGTGACATTATTCACTGAACTAAACTTGTGTGTGTTCAAATGGATGTGCATCATTTTTAATGACGACTCTGCTGGTACTGACACAGGTCAGTTTGACTTTTTGCCTTGTACTTACGTAAGAAGTCAGTGTAAAAAAATGAGTTTATGAAATTTGATCTGTACATCTTGTGTTTGCTGCCCAAGGCTATTAATTGATGCCCAGAGAGAATGAACAGCACAAAACACTTCCTAGTTTGGGGGAGTTAAGTGTAGGCTTTGTTTTTAAGATTTTTTTTCTCATTCCACTTCCAGGTTACTTTTTTGCATTTTGTCAGTAATTAGTGCATGTTGAGAAGGAAATAAACAATCGAAAATAAGATTTTAAACCCAAGAAAGTTGGCAGCCAGAGTGAGGGCCAAGTAAAACTTTTTAGTTTTTTTTAAAAGAGATTTAAAGTATTGATATCCGTTTTATCCGGAAGTCCTATATGCTTCGACAGTACGCATACATAATTCTTGCTTGACCTTTAGTCCAAAACTCTCACTCTGTTTTTCCAAACTGATGATTGGTCGTGGAGCAGCCAGCCTTTGCTGGGATGCCGGCTCTCTTCACAGCTTTCTAACTCTCTGTACAGCCGCAGGGTCTCAAACGTTATATAAATGCAAAGATATTTAGGGAGGAGTTTCTCTGTTGAGATTTAGTGTCGAACGCAGCTTTCGTTTTAGGTCAGACTGTACCCAGTGCTGTGGGATCAAGAAGACTTTCAGGTTCGTTGTCCAAAGCCAAAACTTACAGCTTTCGGATATTTACAAACAAACAAACCCAACCAAGCAACAAGTCCCCCCACCCCCCAAAAAATCATCCCAAATTTTAGAGTTTAGAATCATGTTATGCAGGCACAGTAGTTAAAATATCACTTCTGTATGTTGTGAAAGCACTTAGATATTAAAATTTGTTTTCCTTTTAAGAGTTGCATGAAGGGAAAGGATGCGAGTGGTAACTTCTAAAATTTGAAAACTGAACACACAGAGATAATTATGTTTTAAATGTTTTCAGGATGAGTCAGAGTTAATGGGAAATGGGAACTGTGTTAGATTGGCGCACAATTAGTAGAATTTATCATCGTAATATGCTTAGTGTAATAAGCATGGTGGTCTTGGTTATTCAGTGACAGTTTGTACAGTAATTTTTCTGTTAAAAGGCTATGTCAGTCTGTCACTAGATTCATTAGATGAAGTATGCCATGCTTAAAACATATCTAGTTTCAAAAATAGTGTTAACTCTCTCCAGTAAGACGAGATAGTAGTACTATTCAGCTGGCTAACAACACAGACCTTAAGCAGATTTCACTTATAAATACTTTATTTTATAAAAATGTTTTTAAAATTTTATTAAATGGCCAAAACATTAAATATAAGCAAGCCCTAGTAACAGCCCTACCTCTACTTGTACGTAAGTCAACACAAAACAGGTCCAGGCAGGTTACGAAAAATTAACTGAAAAGTCTTCTCATTTTGTTCATAAACTATGCAAGTCCTGATTATGTACAGAAAGAGTGAGCGAGAGTTTCAAAGACTTACAGTGTTATAACATCTGTTTCATAAATTGTCCCAGAATTCTAGAAAAAGCTCATTTATCTGTCTGTGTGTGTGTGTTTGAAATCATATGTCTGTAGAATGGAAATTCCCTCTGACAGGTAGACTGTGTGTGATCAGCCATTAGCCTTAGTTCTCTCAGGTCTGTCTCTTTTTTTTTAATCAGAAGATTAAAACACTTTCTTTTTAAATTAATTCTGTGATGCTGTGGAACATCCATGCAAATACTAGTCAGTAACATCTTTGTTTAGTGTGAGAACAGTACCAGCCAAAGTTGCCAGAAAAGAAGTGTTCACATAGTTCGGATTAATAGATGAAATTAATATTTTTTCTAGTTTAGTCCTAAGGGTGGGACGCAGGGAGGTACTTGGGCTTGCTGTAGTCCCTTTCTCTCATCTGCCAGATTTTCTCCAAGGGATTAACACCCTCTCTTCCTTTGAAAAAAAAGTAAAAAATAATCAAAACAAACTTGCAAAGATTGCATTAGTCATCAGCTGGTTTGTTAGAAATTCTTTGTAACTGTGGTAAGAACTTGGACTTAGAATTTTCTAAATATACAGAAGGTGGAAGAGTATTGAGCAATTTCTCTCATTATCTTGCAGAGTAATCTCACAGGGTGTAGCGTCGCTGAACTAATGGCCCTCAAATAGTAACTCAGTGGAGCTGCTCAGGGATTCTTGCCATCGCTATAAAAAGACATTTGGCAATAAGCGGTCTGTCACTCTAGAAGTACAGCCGTTTACTAGAACATAAATATGCCAACATACTTCGCTTACAGACTCTTCAGTGGCAACTGGCTCTAGAAAACTAAGTAGCTGACTTTGAACATCACAGATAACTAGTTGTTCTAAAGGCTGTAATTCTAAAGCAGTTTTTTCTTGCGCTGGATGATAAATCATAGTATTTGTTAGATGTTTCTGTTGGGCACTTCACCAACCTCTCAGAAATTTTTGGTAAATGCTAAGAAGTGATGACTCTCTTGCAGGTTCCTTCCGGAGTTTGCATTTCGCAGTTAGACAGAGAAGGACACGTTCCTTGCTTCAGTCTCAGAGATAGTTTCTTGACTGAAGGTTCCTGAAGTCTGTGCTTGTTGTTTATTTGTTTGTTTGTTTTCCCCTGAACTAATAAACTTGTTTAAAATGCAGCTTCCTAACCTCTGTGAGAAGTTCCCTGGCCAGGTGTTAGACTCCTCTGACTTCCCCCTGCCCTGGCTGTCGCTGTCGCCCTCTGTTGGGGTCTGGCTTGCAGGAGCCGAGCAGGGGGTGATGTGCCCGACGACACCGCTCTGGGGTTGGTGCTCCCTAGTTTGATAGTTTCTAGCTGCAAGTGGAGTCCTGGCTGGTCACCGTCTGAGTGGCGCATGATTCTGGGTTTAAGGTTGAGGGGAAAATAGGTCATATAAGCAGAACATGGATGTATTTAACTTGGGTTTTCCGGAGTGTTACAGGCTTCCATACAAGTCGCTCTAGGCTTGACTTTCACCCTTGGCTGTAGTGGTAACTTGGTGACTAGCCTGCTTCCCTCACGGTTTAAGTAAATCAAGTCACAATCTGTAAGCTGATCCTGGGATTGGGAGCCGGTGGGTTTGTACACCTTTAACAATACTTGGCAGCAAGAGAGTTACTTCTGCTGTTGGAGAAAGGTGCCTTTCCTCTCCCCTGACAGACCTACTCGTTCTTGGTTCTCTTAGATCTGTGGTTTGTGTATACTGGGTTGCCAGACGTGTCTCTTAAGCAGTTGTTGATTACGTGGATCATCGAGGAATCACAGGTGTCCAAGCATCAGTCAAGCAAACGGTCAATTAATGTATGTGTGTGGCCAGAGCTGGGTACTCCCTGAAGCTGTGACATGTTTTGTGACTGAGAATTCGTTGTTCCGAAGAACTGCCTTTATAGCATACACTATTTTAACTGAAACAGTCCTAGCAATATATTAATGTTAATGGCTTAATGTTGATGAAATAATTTTTTTTCCAACACATTCATTGATGGCTGAGGAACGTAGCTCTCCAAGTTGAAAGAGACTCCCATAACCAACTGGGGGCCAGCAGTGATCGTGGATTACCGTGAGGCTTGAGTCCTGTGTGCTTCGTCTGTGTCACAGGACTTCCCAAGCCAATAATGGAAAAATGTTAATGGAGTACATGAAGTATTTAAGAATTGTTTCTGCACGGGAGCTTAAAACCTTTTTTTCCCTCTCCTTTTCAGAAAGAAGACACAGCTCCTCCAGCAAGCCGCCTTTGACTCCTCCCTCTTCTTCAGTATTTTCCCTCATTTCATCTTTTCCTTCAAAAAACAAAGGTAGCAGTGGAAGTGGGAGCAATCGTTCATCCAGTGGAGGTACTAGTGCATCATCATCAAATTCCAAGTTGTTGAAATCATCCAAAGACAAGCTGCAGATCAGCGGAAACAACAGGTTAACGCATTCGGTACAGCATAGCAAAGTTCCGCATGATAAAATGTGAGTATGCGTTTTGGCAGAGAGCTACATGTTATTGCTTGTAGAGACACTGCTCTGTCAGTCGGATTTCCATTTGTTTTGCAGGGTTTCTGGTTTAAGAGAGAATTACTTTAAACTCCTCCAGATCTTTTCCAGCAGCCTAGTCTAAGATTATAGATAATACTCGTGACTATGTTGAACAAGAATTCTAGCAAACCTGCATCTTAAATCACTATAAAATAAAGGTTGTTTTACTAGGGGCTCTTAATTCTTTGATATAATCTGAACAGTTTGATTTTAAGGGAGTTTTAGCTCCCTTACAATCCAAGTGTTCAGATTATATCAAAGATATTTAGATACAATCAAAGTGTTCAGATTATATCCCTTTAGTAAGTTACTCTTACAGAATCAGGTGATTTTTGACCTGCATGCACGAGATTGCAGAACTGACAATATAATTTACTGTCACATAATGGGGCATTTCTTACTGAATATGGTGGATCCCTTCCAGTTGTTTTCGTGATACACTGTATTTGTGAATCTAGATAACAGTTTCTGAAGTCCCTGATGACTCTCTGAAATACTTAGCAGGAAAAAAAAGAGGACAGAAGAGATATGGACATCATAAAAAAATTGTGAAAACAAAAAAGATGAGGACAAGAAAACTGGGAGTAAAGGAAGCAGGTTGCATTTGCATTGTGAATAGATCAGAGTGTTGTTGAGTAATAACATACTTGAAGTACTTTTTATAATCTATGACTGTAATTTCCAATTTCCCACTTCTTTTGTTTTTCATGAATAATAGTATGACTCCATCTGTCAAAGTGGAAAAGATTCATCCAAAGATAGATGGTGCCCAACTGAAAGCTGCTGTTGGTCCAACTTGTTCTACTACTGTGAGTTCCTCAATAAAGACTGGCCTTAATTGTCCCTCAATACCAAAGCCACCCTTGCCTTCCCCTGGACAGATACTGAATGGTAAAGGTCTTCTCTCTGTGCCTCCATTTTTGGAAAAGAAACCTGAAGAAAATACAAATAATAGGAAATTTTTACATAAAAGATTGTCAGGTAACTCTTTTTAATTATTGTTTGCTATATTTCTTGTAGTAGTGTACATATAGAAATATGTTTCAGAGGTAAATTAAGCACTTAGAACACTATAACTTGTGACTAGATATGCTTTATACGTTAGAATTTGGATCTGTAACATGACATACTCTTAAAGGCTGCAAACCGTTTGAAATGTGGCTGTTGCTTTCAGCAGCCATACAGGCTGCACAGCCCTGCCAGTTTCTTGCAGCCTAAAACCTGCACTCTTCTATTACCTTTCAAGATTTTTCTTTAATTTCTTTTGTTATGGAAGGTGCAAATGTATATAGAAAGTGGAACAACTAGCACTTCATAAACTCAAAGATGTAAACTTAGTCTGCTCTTCACACTTTTTGAACACACTAACTTTGAGTGTTAGTAGAATGGTAAAAAAGTTCTTAAACCACCAAACCCAACAACAAAAACCGTGCTATTTGTTTCTCCACTCTGCTTGTGGACTTGAGATTTGTATTTCAGCACACCATGAACTTGCTGAGAGGGTAGAAAATTATTTGTACAATTTTATTGGGCATTTTTCCTTATATGTTTACCTGTGTTGCATTCGAAAACAGTTTTCCAATATGGTTGATTTTTATAATGCAATAACAAAAGATGTTTTGAAATTCTAACATTTAACTTTGCAATACCTTGCACCTTTGACAGAGAGAGAATTTGATCCTGATATATACTGTGGTGTCATTGATGTGGAAACCAGGAAACCTTGTACTAGGTCTTTAACATGCAAGGTAGGATGTCTTAATCAGAATAAGATTATTCAAAAGTTTAAATTTTCTGAGGAGTGTGACAAAACAGAAAACAACACATTTTTGCTTCTAGTCAGTAATTACCACTGTAAATGGTACCTCTCAAAACATGTTGCCCAGAACCAGGAAGGAATTGTTTTTGAGGTTCAGTTAATTATTATTCACAACTGTATTTCTTAAAGTAACTTGAAGATTTGTATTTTTGTATAAAACCTTTAAACATGGATGCTGACATGGCACACGAGTTATGTTACTCCACGTATAGGTAGTAGGGCCCCAGCACGTTGTTCTTTTTGGGGATAACTTTTGGTTGATAGGTCACAAATTTTCAAATTTCTCACAAGCATAAAAAAAGCTCTGTTAGTTTCTGCAGGATTTAAACAAATCAAGTTTCTCCCCTCTCACACCCCTCCCTTTGCCCCCAGCAGAGTCTGCAGCAGCAGATACCTAGGAGGTATTTGTGTAAATGCTAATGCTGCTGGGTGTGTGACCACAGCCAGCTCTGGCTTGAGTCTTCTGAAAAAGACAGAGAATGCCAAGAGGTCAAACTCTGAATTAAACAGTCCCTAAAACTTTCAATCTGATGAAATGTGTCCTCTGGCTCTGCAATCTTGGGGGACAGAGGAGCACCACATAGTCCCGAGGAACCGAAAATCCAGATCCCCTGCAGTTGTGTAATACTGAGCTACTTCCCTGCAAAGCAGCTGAACTGTCAGTAGGGGAAGCATCTGGTAAATAAACCACCTACAGAACAAAGGTAAATGAGGCTGGTACTAATGACCCAGAGGGACTGAACTTGAACACTTGCCCTTTTGGAATCACAGAGGAGAGGCAATTGTTTTGCTAATAGAGGAGGGAAGAGCTTCAAGATCTTACAGAACTAGGCAAAAGGTGTAAAAGAATGTAAGTAAAAATGTTTCTCAGCAATTCCTTGTATTATACCTACTCATAAAATACTTTCCGGAATTGCTACGTATGTGCCTGAATCTTGTGATAATAATTATATCTACTAAAATGAACTCAGACAAACCTTTTATGCCATATGAAGGAAAGGTGTTGTATGTGACTTCAACAGTTCAGAAAAATTAACTTCCATCTATTTCACTTTCCCTAGAATTTGTGCCATATGCACATATGTACATCCTACTACGTGTAGCAGTCCAGACACTCGAAGGACTTTGAGTTCTGTCTGACTGTGGATTCTGCCGTGTTTTTATCTATTTGATTACATTAGTTTTCAAGGAGTATGTTACTATACAGACGGAAGCAGAGTGTTTTTATGAATATTTTTCACATCTCCAGTTAAAAGTCTGATGTTAAACATTATTGTGTTCAATATTTTCATAAGTGAAAGTAAATATTTAGTGGTTTTGGTTGTCTGCTCGTCGGCAGTTAAAATATCAGTGTGAAAAAGATTTTCAGTTCTAATCTTAACCTTAAAAGAACTTTGGCAGTTTCTTTTTAGAAAAGTGTGAGAGAAGCTTTTTACTCACTTGCTGGGCTGTGTGGATATACTTATCTACCAAGCAGTTTTAAAGCTTGTTTTCTAACTCATTTTTCCATTTGTTCACTAAACCACGAGCGTGATGATTTTCTCTGTTTCAGAGCTCTAGACATGTGTTCCGAGTGTTTGATTTCCACAAATCTAATACCCTGGGATTAATGATTTATTTGTGCTTTTGCAGACACATTCCTTAACCCAGCGGAGGGCTGTACAGGGTCGAAGAAAACGATTTGATGTGTTATTAGCCGAGCACAAAAGCAAAACCAGGGAAAAGGAGCTTCTTCGACATTCGGATCATCATCAGCAGATGCCCCCTCTCAGGGAACCACATCCCTCACCTACTAAAACTTCCCAGGAGCTGCACCAAAATTCTCATGGAGTTACTCTTACAGATTCAAAGCCTTTATTACCTAATAAGCCCAAACCTCACCCCCCCAGTCTTCCAAGGTAAGGAAAATCTGCAGATGCAATGGTACGAAATTAAATACCAGTAGCTTCATCCGGTGGATTTTGAAAGAGCGATACGGATCTGTTGGACGGGGCAGTGTTTTTGCTCCAGGCTTGGTGACTGCCTGCAATTAGCAGTAACACGCTGAGCTGTAACTCCTAGCGAGGAGGGTTTGGTGTTTGAAATAGTAAAAGCTGACTTGCATCATTTTTAACAACTGGGCAATGCAGCTTTTCCAGGGCTACCGTGCCTCCCGTCCTTCCTCTCAGTAGATGTGTTACGCAACGACGGAAAATGTCGGAAAGCTGTTTGTGTGGTTTTCCTTCTGTCAGTAATAGCAAGCACTTGGGCTCGGGATTTTTAACCAGACTGAGTTCCCTAACACCTTTACTGCTTGCCTTGCCCAGGCCTCCAGGCTGTCCAGGCCAGCACAGTGGAAATGCCCCCAGCGAGTCTCCTGCTGTCCACGAGTCCCCGCACCCTCCCTTGCCTGCAGCTGAGCCAGCATCTCGGTTATCCAGTGACGAGGGAGAATGTGATGAAAAGGAAGAGCCTGTTGAAAAACTGGATTGTCATTATTCAGGTCATCATCCTCAACCAGCCGCTGTACGTTTTAAAAAGTAGAAGTTAAGCTTGGTCTCTGGGTAGCTCTGAACTTGTAAACAAATGACTTGGGGGGGATTTATTTATATCTTCTAGATTCTAAGGAAATTATTTTGTTGCCTAACGGGCAGTGAAGGTTTAACTGTAGTTGCTAAAGAAATGCATTTAGAGCTCACTTCCCCAATCCAAAAGAAGTCAAAAGGCCAAAATACTGAAGATGAAATTAGTAACTGCTCTGAAGGGCTGTGGGTTTGGAATAAGGACATTTAAACAATGCCTTTTTGGTGAGATATTGTTATTGGACTTGCCGTGCCCCTGCACGTTTTTTACTCAAGGTGCCAATCATCACAGTAAAGATAGCAGTAATGTGTTGGTTTAATGTTTAAGTTTTGACAAATCTAGTTAGTCTAACCAAAAGCACAACCTTTACTGCCTAGCCTGTATATCAAATTATCTCCTTTAAAAAAATATACAGGCTATAAGCAGATAGGTGATGGTTCCTCAGAAGTAGATGTTCTTATATACACACAAACATGCACTACTGTCCTTCCCTATTTAATCTGAGGAATTCAAATTTGACTGCTGCTTTCAGCAGTCAAAATACTCCGTAAGTATCGGAGTATTAAGTGGGAAGAAAATGATCCCAATATACCGCAGCTAAAAATATAAAATAGTTATACTATAGAAATGAAAATTCTGATGTATGGTTTTTTTGTCCTTGATTTCAACATCTAAGAGCATATGCATTTAGCAATATTTATTTATGATCAAACACTGTTATTCGGAGAGTTGTTACTGCAGGTAGAAAGCACTGGTAAAAATCTGTCTTTTCAGTTTTGCACATTTGGTAGTCGGCAAATTGGAAAAGGTCATTACGTGTTTGACAAGCGGTGGAACCACATTCGATCTGCACTTCAGGCCATGTTGGAGAAGCATCATAATTCACAGATGTGGAAGTGAGTAGAAGTGTTATTCTTCCTGGTATTTGTAGTAATACACGAAGCCTGTGATTCTAGTTAAAGAACAGTAATCTTGTATTCAGATTAATCGGATCAAAGGTTGATAGTCTGTGCTTAACTGTTGCAAAAAAATAATGTAAACTGTTAATTGAGTAAAATATTTTAGTGATCAACCTCAAGATACAATCACTTTAGCATTATTAGATGAGATGTTATTCCAAACAATGGTAGCTACGTAGTTTTTTTATTTGTTTGTTTTGTGTTCACCTGCAGGAAAATTCCTCCGGCATCTGGCAACACAGCGTCAGTTCGTGCACCGCATCGGACAAACTCGACGCCTGCCTCGCAGGTCGGTGTCAGTGCAGCAGGTGTCCTCTTACCCACCACGGTTATGTCATCGCCAGCGTTGGTATCTCCTTCCTGTGTGTCTCTGAATAACAAATCGGTACCATCCCATGGAACGACACTAAATGCCAATCCTGCTGCTTTGGGTGCAGTGGATCCTGTCTGCAGTATGCAACCGAGACAAGTGTCTTCATCCCCTTCAACACCTACAGTGCTTTCCTCTGTACCTTCACCTATGCCCAGCAAACCTCAGAAAATGAAATCCAGCAAATCTTTTAAACCCAAGGAATCTTCTGCTGGCAGTGGCACCTGTAACAGCACCGGCAGCGTCAGTAGCAGCGGCGGCTCAGGAAAGAAGCGTAAAAACAGTTCCGCACTGCTAGCACCTTCTCATTCCACAGAGTCCTTTAGGAAAAACTGTGTGGTTAACTCTGGAAACTCTGGGACCTCCTATCATCCAGCGGTGACAGCTTCGTCCCACAGCGTTGGCCTCAACTGTATGACTAGCAAAGCTAACTCTGTTAGCCTCAAACATGACCAATCAGGGAGGGGTCCTCCGACTGGAAGCCCTGCAGAATCCATAAAGAGAATGAGTGTGATGATGAACAGCAGCGACTCCACGCTCTCCTTAGGGCCGTTTGTTCATCAGTCCAGCGAGCTGACTGTCAATTCACACAGCAGTTTTTCACATTCGCATACTTCCCTTGACAAATTAATAGGAAAGAAAAGAAAGTGCCCACCTGGTTCAAGCAGCATAAACAGCAGCAGCAGCAGCAGCAAATCAAACAAAGTTGCCAAATTGACATCGGTGAACAATGTTCATGCAAAACACACTGGTGCAATCCCAGGGACGCAAGGACTGGTGAACAATTCTCTGTTTCATCAGGTAGGAAATTTTGTCTCTTCTATTACTTATACTGCTTATATTACAGGTGTTCTCTTAATTAGTAGCTAGCCAGTTCCAGGTCCTGTTCAAGTAAAAGATAGTTCTCCGGTTCGTCCACTACTAATTTTGAATCTTTATAGTACATTTACACAAAATTTTTATAAACGCTGGAGTTTTTGTTTTTAAAGTAACCCCCAATAGAATGTTCCAAGTTTCTTTAGATGTTGCCTGTGAAGAGCTCTCAGATGAAACTCGATCCTGGCATTTTAAAGAAATAATTTCAAAAGTAAATCTTGGCAGCCAGCTGTGGAACTGAGCTGCTTGTCTCAGCCTGGCTTCTTGATTCTGTGTCAGTAATAAACATTCTACAAAGGGGAATGTAATGATGCTGGTAACAGAGCAGTGATACTGAGATAAAATAAGCCTGTTAGCCCGAGGCGTCATTGACTGACTTCTTAGTAATAATGAGATTAAATGTTATAAATGAGATAGAAACCTTTCTGGTCGGTAAAGTAAACAGGTTTACTATCTAGGAAGCAGATCTCATGAGTAGGTAAGATCCCATTTTAAATATTAGTTTGGAGGGTTGTTTTTTAAACAAATCGCATTTGGACAAGTAGTCTGTTGGGAGAAAAAGTTCTTGATGAGTTAGGATGAGAGAGATTTTAGGAACTGGTGGCTATGACTTCTTAATAATATTATTCAAATTGACTTGAAGGATCCCTTGGAGGGGTAAAAATAATTTGATAGAGCTTGAGGAGAGGGTAGAAGATGGAATTTTAGAGGGTAGCTTTAGAAGTAGATTTTTTTCTGAGACTGAAAACCCAAGAAAGATTTTGTTTCCTCTCATGCTAATAACCTGAAATCTGTGTGCCTGGAGAGCTAGGAGGTCAGTAAGAGCTTCTTCAGAATAGTTTCTTAATTTTCAGTTTCAGCCATAAAGGAAGGGTTTCACCGTTTTGTGGTGTTTACTGTAACAACACAAAAGCACTTAGATGACTAAATTTATATTTGGACTTACCTAATAGTTACTGTTTCAACTGTGTGATATAAATGAAGGAGAACTATTAATTTGAATGAATTAAGGAAGGGAATGCCATCTGAAACCATTCCAGCTTTAAAGAGCTTTAGCCTGATGGTTGTCAAATCCCAGAGAAGCCAACTGCAGGTCAGTGGTGTCGCACTGTGCCTGCTGGTTCTCCCCAAAATACGTTCTCGTTACCCGGAAAATGTCTTTTTAGGGCGTCTGTTCTAGCAGCCTGGCTCACTCCTTCTCTTCCTTCTGCTTGCTCGAAAGCCAAAGGCCCGTCCCTGATAGCTGAACGCACCGCGGCGAGAAACCAACTGGACAATTTTCACTACAAGCAAAACCTCCCTCTGGATTTCTGGACTCCAAGATGCCTTGAGTTTTCCCAACTTCCCATGGTCCTCAGGTGTGGAAATCTACTGGACTGTCACTTAAACAAGGAATTTCCCTGAAGCCATGTCTGTAGCAGCGACTCTCTTAGAATTGGACACTGGATGAAGTTCAGCCACGCAATTGCTCTTATCAGTGTTACCGGTGGTCTGGACTGTTTGCTACAAATCTGTGAGATTTTCCTTACAGGAGTTACGTCATCTTGCCACTATTTGACATAGATTGGCTGGGCAAAGGAATGTTTTCTGGGGGGAAATAAACGTTACTGTTGACTTATTTTTATACTGATGGTGTCTTTTGTAGGTGATAGCTGACCAGGTGGACACCCTCAATGGAGAGAGGACCCCGTGACAAGGGGGAAAAAGTGTGTGAGGCACAGTGGAAAGACACCCTCAAGAAGGGAAATATGGCTTTAGTGTTTTTATAGCAATGTTCCTTTAATGGAATATAAAAATAGCACAATTCAAAAAAAAAAATAGTCTGTGTTTTGCCCAGCCTTTTGCAAGTAATTTGGGATAAGAAGCTTTCAGGAGTTTAACAAAAAAGACAAGACAAACCATGAAAAAACAGAAAAACTTGTTTGAGGCCATCGCTTAGAAAACAAGTATAAAAATGTCATAATTACATGATACAAAGCCTACTTTTTATTATTTTGAAAAAGATTTGATTGCAGGAGAAAAATGAAAGTTAATTTTGTTTTTTAAAAAATCCAAAAACATCAAGCAGACAAAGGCAAATAACCTCTAAAACTCTATGCCCAAAGAACATATTTATTGACCTATGCTGTATACCGTAGGCCTTTGTTATTTTTTTAAAAATAACAACTATATTGGTTGAATAAAGCTGGACTTGCCTTCCAGCCCTTTTAAAACTAAGTATTTAAAGTATTTAAATATTTCCTGTAAAACATAAGTATCAATTTCTTTACGCCTTGTTTGTTTATCTAAATCGTTAACGTGTTACGCTTTCAACCACTCAGTAAGATTATTTTTATTTATTTTTCTTTTTCAAAATTCGGGAATAAACGCCAGTTGGACAGCAGAGTTCACCGTAAAGCGCAGATGTGTGCACCACAGTCATCCCACGCCTGCTTTATGACTGAAGGGCGCTGTACACAGTTTTATATAATCCAGTCCACTTCTGTGAAATATTTCGTCTTGCTTCAGAACACCTCAAAAGTGAATTCTGCTAAAGGGCTTATCGTATTATGATTTGATTAGTCTGGATGTTTTTGTTAAGTTTTTAAACGTCAGGTAAAGTTTCAAAACCGACTAAACTTTTATTAAGGGGGCAAAGCAAATTCCTAACCGAGAAGGTTTTTTGGGGTTGGGGTTTTTTTTTTCTGCCTTAAATGGGCACCAGCTATTGCTGAGAAGAGACAATCTGAGCCTGTCCAGTTGTGCACGTCACCCAGCCTTCTCCCCAGTTCTGGTGGAAAAGTAGGACATCAGGGAATCCAAAGCCACTCCGAGTAGCAGTTGCTTAGTTTTTTACCTGACGATGCTTTCAGTTTAACCTGACCTTGCTACGAAATCCTTGTCATACAGCAAAACAACAAGAAGCCTCTATGCAGACACTTTAGCTTTGAATTGATACGAAAGATCACATTGAGAAAGCAACGTACTAGAGACACTTATTATGCAAACTTAAAGGCAAAAAGAGGAAGACAGCTTTTCAGGAACAAAAAGATTCCTATTGAATAAGGTGGCCTGTTGAAAGGATTGTCAGAACTGCAGTGGGTTTAACGTGAAAGGAACCAAAGTGATAATGCCACAAAGAGAAATCAAAGCATATAAAAATCCTGCCTGTTTAGAGCTAAATCCACGCTCTGATGAAGCCCCTGGGGCAGAGCTTCCACTCGGGGATAGCATCACTCGCAAGTGCAGTCTGACATCCTGATAGACACGAAGGCAAAGGAGACCAAAACTGGGTGAGATTGAGCACTGGGGAGTTTGTGATGGAACTCTCTGTTTTTTTTCTTTTAAGGTTCTGTTGATCTGAAAGCATAACGGCCAACCCGTGCTCCTTGGAGAGCACGCAGACCTCTTGAAAAAGTGAATTCCTGGTCGCTGCTCGTACAGAGCCGGTGTCTGCAGCCACCTGCATCGGGTGGCTTTAAGCCATTGGGAGTAAAGATTTAGAACATCATAAATTCTGTCTGCTCTTGAGCTTAAATGTTATCTTGGGTTCTAAGCAGAACATTGTTCCTGAAGCTTTTACTGTCAGTAGATCTTACTGTAAATAATTAAGGAAGCTTAAAATTAATTTTCCTTGCAAAATTGAATTTGCAGTGGCTGGGTTGTTTCTAGACAGATTTTGGTATTAATTTAAGAGATACAGTTTTTATAGTCTTTCCAACTTCTCGTTATGACTCCTGCAGTTTTCTTAACCTAAAAAATTGCTGCAATGATGAACAAAGAATTATTCAAGAAGAAAACATACTTTTGTATCTTTATTTTGGAATTTCTTGTTCTATTATAAATATTGAAGTATCCCTATTTCAGAAGACATATTTTGTTAATTGATTGTACATATTTAAATATGTATTTTTGCACAGGTCTTTTTTTCTTATATCCAGTTTTGGTACAATTGAGATCATCTAGTATTTATTTATTAATTAATTAAAAAAAAAAAAAAGAAAAAAGCGCAAATACCTTTTTTATAATTTGAAGTGGTTCACTGCCAAGCCAATAGTTAATAACATGCCTACTTTGCAACTTAAGGGATGCCTCCGTTTTGTGAAAGCCGTGTCCCTTTTTCATGTCTCGGGAGTGGATACACGCGGATATTGCCCGGGTCCGG